CCCCCCCCCCCCCCACACCCCCCCACACCGCTCTCCCGCACCCTGTTGTTGGCTCTCCCCAGAATCCTCTCCAGGAGCTCTCTTGCCAGTCAGCACGCTGTCCGTGGCTCCTTCCTTCTGCACATGGTTCTTCGCCAAAATGAAACTCGGCCTCGTGCCCTTGTGTGGTTTCAATTAAATACCCGTTTTGCCACATTTCTAAAGAGAATTAAACATATTGCAGAATTTGTATTTAAAGCAGACTCATGACTGAATATGGCCGCCTGTCTTTAAGACCCTTTCGTCCATATTTGTTGTCTTCTCTCCTCCCTCATCTCCGAAATTCTCACAGAGCAGTTACAGTTCACGGACGTCTTCATGTGGGTCCTGCCCTCGAATGGTGTCGCTGAGTTTTGTTCACCACCTTGTTCGGCAACCCTACCCCTTACCCTGGGTGACGTTCTACTTCAGTTGTTCGAAGCATGAGGATTTTTTCCCCGTTTTATTTCAGATTCTCCTAGGGACTTATTTAACTTAATCCTATAACAGTCTGGGGGTAAGTTGTGGCAGTGGAAACCCAGAAACAATTACTGAGCTCCCAGCTTGAAGTTCTGAGAATGCCAGTCTTCTTGCTGTACTGGGCTGAATTGTACCAGAACATAATGGTTTGGGCTTCTGTGCACAATGGAGTTGCATTTGGCCAAAGTGACGGGGTAGGAACACAGAGACGACTTGCTGCTTGAGAGGACCCTCCGGGGCAGTCAGATGGAGGCGGCAGGGCATCCCTTGACCTGTCGCTCTTCCACTTAAAGCCCATTTTAGCATGGATTCATGTTCTTACATAATTCATTTCAAATAAAAACATAAGCTGTGTGACTTAATGAACTCCTTTTTGTGATGTAGAGGAAGTTGAATGTATATATTTATGAGAAGAAACTCTTTAGCAGATTTTAGGTTTGAGGGAATAGAATGTCCACAAAAACTGGGCCAAAAAAAAAAAAAAAAGGTTTTCAGTTCCTAAAACCCATTACTGAGGATTAACATTAAAATATTTATAACTTTTAGAAAAGGGCTTTCCTAAGATGACTTCCACCTGTTTGTGGGAAACATTTGTTGTGTGACACTGTTGTAGTGGACCGGGCTGATCTCTCTATTCAGGAAGAATTGACCCTTACTTTTAGAATAGTAGTTTGACTTTAATCATATAACTCCTGTCTTTGAGAATATGTACCCCTAAGGGTGAGTATGATGGAAAACCATACCTGAGGTGTGGCCCAATGAATTTAAGCCTCAAGTTATAGCTGAATACATTTATAATTTCATAAAATCTAGATTAGAAAGCATTGTGAATGCAGTTTCCAAAAATCCATTTGTACTTAGAGTAAATACAATGTTTAGGAGGTGTTTCGTGGTTTGGATTTATATATTTATAAGGTTTTTTTTAAAAAATGTTCATTTTGTCTGACATGTACATCAAATAAATGAGTTATGATGAAATTTCTAGAAAGCCCTGGTTGTGGGTACTGTGTATTTTGCTTCTTCGTATAATGTCTGCAGTGCTAAATTTGTCTCTCTTTGTATATTGTGCTAGCCTTTTTTTTTAGTTGTCAGTAAATTAATTTGGTTTTAAAGAATTTTAAATGTAAGCCAACAGAAAACTCTTTATGCTGTTGAATGAAAACAGGACAATGCTTCAATATTTTATTCACTGTGATAATATTTTGTTTGTCCATTAAATTATTATTTCGACACGAGAAGTTTGACTTCCCTGACTCATGATTGAGATTCAGTTATTACTTCAGATTTCTGTTAACGTTAGATAATTGTGAACTAGAGCTTTCAGAAACACTGATGAAGCCGACTGATGAAGCCAGTGCCTCTGTCATACACATGAAGATTCCAGAACTTTCCGACAAAGTTGATCTAACTGGTCCCACCAGTTTGTTTTTGAAAAACAAAACAAAGCAAAACAAAAACCAACCAACCAAAAACAAAACAGGGGAGGGAATTTGGGAAGACAAAACTAAACCATTGTCTTTATCATTATAAGTAAATTTTTTGGTTTTAATTTGTTTGATGTATGTTCCAGAATCTGACTAGCCACTCAGCAAAACAGTGTCCCTTTTAGTCGGGCAATCACTAGCCTTCTGTGAACTGGGCAAATTTTTGTGATTACCTGATCTTTAAATATGACCATTGTTAGGCAAAGTAGACATTATTGACAGTATGTAACGGTTACATGTTTATGATAATTAGTGAATTGGCACCACATGTTAACCAAGAATAATGGTTTTCATTCACTTCTGAAACCTTTGCATAAACGAGCAAGGAACGTGTTTAAGGAAAGGCTTTACCTGCACTAGTCAGTCGTAACTTGGATGAGTCCTGCTTACCTGCTGAGAGACCGACAAATGATGAGCCTGTGCTAGGTTGTAAACAGACACCCTGACTTCCAAGAAATGTTCTCATATGTCATCCAGGTAGATGCAGATGCCGAGGGAATCCTGTAGTGCTAGAGAGACTGGTAACACAGTAAAAGGACCACCTCTGTGAGTCCTGGAGCACAGAAGGTGTGAAAAAGAGCTAGCCTGAGTGGAATGAGGGAGAACTACAGTTTTCTGTGTTTCTACATCTTTTGTGGTTTTTCTTTTTTCACTCTTCTTAGCAAAAAGCAAATACCTGCCTTAATTCTTTAGAAACACCACAGAAACACCACATATTATTCCAGAACTTTCTTTAAAACCAATGGGAGGCTTGGTTACAGATAAGCTCTCTGAAGAAATTTCACCACTGGCTCCTGAGGCTTGAGTCGTGTGTATTTTCCACATTCTGCCCATTAGATGTTTACTTCTCAGCCTCTTTAACGATTTATGAATTTTTACTCTTCTGTGGGGAGCTAGAGGCTTAGTATTGGATCTACCCTTACAGGTTTATTTAGTGTAAAAGATTTTTGAGAAAAAAAAAAAAAGTATGTGGATAGCTGGATGTCGAAGTTTGTATAAATTCCAAGTGAGTCCTAGAGGCAATACAGGTGTAACTCAATTGCTTATGTCATGTTAATTTGTGGTATAATCCAAATCTCAGGTATGCTCAGTACACAGATATTTATGGTTTCTGACAAGAAGGTGCTTTAAATTTAGGAATTAAAAAAAAAATTAGAAGTTAAATTATGCCCTGCCCATTTTGTATGCTAAGTAGGGCTATGTGGTAATGTATTCTTGAAAGTGGTCAAAGCTTGAGTTAATGAAAACATTCACTTACCTGGAACAATCACACGACAAGCGTTTTTAATCAGCCAACAGTTTATTGGATTTGCACCATATTAACATTTTCCTTTTAAACCGAGTTGGTGAGAATTTGGTAAGAGAGAAGAACATGCTGTGACTTAGGTCATTTCAGATCTTGGTTTTCCCATGAAGTTCAGTGCTTTAGGTAAGAAAGTTTTTGTTTTTTGTTTTTGCAGTGTTCAGACCCATTTACCTCAGATCAGTGGTCTGACCAAGACACCTGTGTCTGAGCATCTTTGGTGTGTCAATATCAAACCGGAAGTGAAGGAAGTAGAGAAATGACAAGCGGGACAGAGTGGAGGGTCAAGGTTGAGCTCTGTGAAGCTCTAACTTCACGGTAGAGGAGCAGACAAAGGGACTGCACTGGTGCAGCCCGAGCTCTGAGAAAGAGCAGCAGCCATTGGAGGATTGTGTGCTCACAGGGGCCAAGAGCTAGGAGGTGGAATTAGCATGACTAGACGAATACAGACAGAAGCAGATGAAGATTATTTTATTGAAAAAAGGCTTGTTAAGCTTTTCTCATGAAGAAAAAGTTCAGAGAATCACGTAATTATCACTGGTACACTCACCTCTGAGAGTCGGTCACTTAACCTTTTGCCATATTTGTTTTTTCTCTCCCCCCCAAAAATAAGAGACTTTCTCTAATTTGACTAAAATATCATTATTGCATCTAAGACAAAAATACTTCTCTAATTGCTTAATATGCAGTCTAATTAAATTTTTCTAGTCCCAAAATATCTTTTATAGCTCCAAGCAAAAAACATAAGCCAGGCGCTAATCAAGATTCACATGTTGCATTTGGTTATTATGTATTTTATTCTCTTTTATGTTGGAACAGTCACTCCACTTTGTGTTCCCCGTGACATTGACAGCTTGAAGAAAGGAGGCCCGTTATATTGTATAATAGCCCACATTCTGGATGTCTGTTTCCTCGTGGCGGTGAGGAGATGGTCAGAGATTCTTCTTCTATCACTTGTATTTCCTGTAAACTGGAAGTTAGGTAGAAAATTTTGATTGCATTCAGATTTGGGGCAAGAATTTTTCTTAGAGGGTGCTGTGTACTTGGTGTTGCATCACATCAGGAGGCATGATTGAAAGTCCACTCCACCATCTGAAGTGCTGTCTGATCAGT